AAACTTCTGCCAATGATGGATTTAATTGATGCCGATCGTAATTTCGCATTGATTACAGCGGGGGGAGGGGGGAGGGGTCTTGTCGGACGCTGCGAACAACTTGTCAAACAATTACTATTGAAACAATATCTTAGATTGAGGTGAATCTCTAGGATTTGACTTTTCTTTTGGAGTTGTCAGTTTTCTCTGCCATCTGGCGACGATGCACCGAACTCGCCTCTTGCTGATTGGCTAAGGTTGCGTATAAATTGAGGATCGTGACACGGATGTTTTCGCAACAACAACAAAAAGCTCTCCCGACAAAGGGGGGTCCACCAGTGGGGCTCGGAATTCGATTTTGAAACCTCGTTTTGTGAGCCGCATTCAGAAGACGCGCTCCAGTCGCTTCCGAGGCTGCGACAGCTCCTGCCGAGTAAACGCGGAACTCTGGGCCCAACGTACCAGCCAAAGGTTGGGCCCCAAGGTCGTGTGTTCACTCGGTGCCTGCCACTGGGGGGGGAGGCACTTGCACCGTCCACTGGGGGCCACTTGAACCGTCCACTGGGGGGCCACTTGAACCGTCCACTGGGGGGCCACTTGAACCGTCCACTGAGGGGCCACTTGAACCGTGAGCGTCATTCCAACGGACGGCGGCGTGCGGCGTTCCTCGAGTCCCCCTCCATTTCAACCGTCGACCAAACCAAGATGGGAAATCTTCCCAGGCAGCCTAGGACCATCAGAACACGGTGATGTAGTTGAACGTAATACCACCAGATCTCGGGGTATGATGGGGCCTGACACCTGTGTCGGATTATCCCAGTAGCACAAGTAGCTACATATGTAGCTACGGGCCCCGCACTTTTAAGGGCCCCGCGTTAAATGCGTTCAAGCTATCAATTCCGGTTCAGTGATTCTGCACTTGCTCTATTACTATAGTACTATACTGCCTTCGACTTTTACGAACGACTGGGTGTTTAAGGTTAGCGATTTATCATATTATCTGGCTGTATAGCAAATGCAAAAATACAATGACTTAACTATACAAGTGACAAACTTGTGTTTGCATATTTAAGTGTGTTTTTTTATTTAGGGCTCCTTTATAATATATGCTACAGGCCCCGCACTGGCTTAATGCGGCACTGGGTGACACCCCCCCCCATCGACCCCCGCCCCTCGACTCCCTCCCCCACTGGAGATCGCAAACATTTATATTTGTAACGGGTTCCGGAGACACTTGTAGATGTAACTTCTTTATTACAATACAACACTCCAACAGTCCTGATACTCTGTTACAGCCTAGGTACACAGCCTAGCTACACAGCCTAGATACTCTAGATACTCTACTCTGGCTACGCTCGCCCTCACAAGGTCGTAGAGTCGGGAGTTCCAGAGTCCCAGCGCTGGCTCTCACAGCATCCCAGGGTCTTCAGATGGCTGGTCGTGGGTCTTGGGTCTTGAGTTACAACTGGGCCCCGATCGTCCAGGGAGCTCTCCTTTTATGCCTGGTCCGACGAGGGGTGGGGCCGTGTGCGCCACCAGACATCCCACAGAGCACACACAGCCCCCCCCCCCCCCCCCCGTTGGCGGCGCCAAAAAGGCTTAAGCGCCTGGGAACCCAACGCCTGGCGCCCAAAGGCTTAAAAGCGTCTGGACCCCCTGGGAACCCAGTGCCTGGCGCCCAGAGGCTTACGCGTCTGGACCCACCTGGGAACCCAGAGCCTACAGCAGCCCCTCCCTTCTTATGTCACTACATTACCCCCCTCTACGTAGCCTCCAGCCGTCCCGGCTGTCAATAATTAGAAAGTTTAAATTAACGAAAGGGAGAGAGAGAAAAAAATATGCGAGCCTCAACAGGAAAAGAAAAGAGAACAAGAAAGCAACCATAAAAACCATAACCAACCTGTACAACTCTACACTATATACAAGCATCAATCAACAAAAAGGTGAAGCAATGACACGTGAACAAACGACCCGCGGCACACCTAGCCCTCCTCGGGATCCGCATAGAAAACGGGGAATTAACAACAAATATACAGATTCCGACGCGTTGGATGCACAACCAACACCGGTAATCGAACCGAAATCACACAACCACCGCATAGATGGCAGGGATCCACACCACTCTGCCAGCCTCCCATCCGTCAGGTGGAGAGAAGGCGAAGACCAACATGTCGAGCATCCCTCTACACACACTTATCCGGACGTCTGTCTACGTCCCGGGTCGAGAAGTCGTACTTCAGGGCCGACCCATGTACTGGGCAAAGAAGTCGCACTTCAGGGCTGCTCCAGTATCTACATTTTTAAATATATAAAATTTACATGACACAACCAAAATAAATCTGCCTGCTCCTGTCCATAAATGGTGGCCGCACGCGCGAACCGCATCTCCAAGGCATCCCGTGCTTGCGTCCCAGCAGCCTTCAATGAAGACCACCACCGACATTGCATGTCAACCGTTTGCACCCCCCGCGTTTCCAACGTGGCGTCTCCATCCTAAATCCTGCGCACGTCGGCCATATCGGGGGGGACTTCAACCCAGTCTCTCTCCAAGACTCGCATCGCAGCATATAGCTGTACCGACCGATCTGAGACCCAACCTCTCTCCAAGACTCGCATCGCAGTATATAGCTGTACCGACCGATCTGAGACCCAACCTCTCTCCAAGACTCGCATCGCAGCATATAGCTGTACCTGACCGATCTGAGACCCAATCTCTCTCCAAGACTCGCATCGCAGCATATAGCTGTACCGACCGATCTGAGACCCAACCTCTCTCCAAGACTCGCATCGCAGTATATAGCTGTACCGACCGATCTGAGACCCAACCTCTCTCCAAGACTCGCATCGCAGCATATAGCTGTACCGACCGATCTGAGACCCAACCTCTCTCCAAGACTCGCATCGCAGCATATAGCTGTACCGACCGATCTGAGACGACCCATTGTTCACTCCCTGCACAACATGCACCCTAACAACTGAGGGATACAGTCCCAACGTAACGGGACAACTACACCTGAACACCACGAATCTCCAGCCCACTGTTTCAACGCGCCTCGGAGTGTTTCAATCTCCGGGCCGTCAGGTCAAGCCGTCAGCTATTCCATGACGGGACCACACTCTCCGAGCCCTGTGAGCGTACAGCCCACTAGGCCAGACATGCCACGGAGTGTTTCAATCTCCGGGCTGTCAGGTCAAGCCGTCAGCCATAGCATGACGGGACCACACTCTCCAAGCCATGTGAGCACACAGCCCACTAGGCTAGACATGCCACGGAGTGTCTCTATCTCCGGGCTGTCAGGTCAAGCCGTCAGCCATAGCATGACGGGACCACAACTCTCGTGTTAGACACGCAACACCCGCTGGGCCATCCTGGTCAGGATCTGCACCCCAAGATATTTGAGAGCCAGCATGACAATTCCAAATCCTTGGCAGCATGTCACCATCTCAAGATAAATGCCCCATACAGTATATACATAGTTAACAATGACAGCACAAGCTATACATTAACAATCACGAACAAAGCTCAATATAAACCATACATTGTTAACAATCACAAGCAAAGTTTCGCACACACATTGACAACACTCACGAGCGAGACACTTGTAGATGTAACTTCTTTATTACAATACAACACTCCAACAGTCCTGATACTCTGTTACAGCCTAGGTACACAGCCTAGCTACACAGCCTAGATACTCTAGATACTCTACTCTGGCTACGCTCGCCCTCACAAGGTCGTAGAGTCGGGAGTTCCAGAGTCCCAGCGCTGGCTCTCACAGCATCCCAGGGTCTTCAGATGGCTGGTCGTGGGTCTTGGGTCTTGAGTTACAACTGGGCCCCGATCGTCCAGGGAGCTCTCCTTTTATGCCTGGTCCGACGAGGGGTGGGGCCGTGTGCGCCACCAGACATCCCACAGAGCACACACAGCCCCCCCCCCCCCCCCGTTGGCGGCGCCAAAAAGGCTTAAGCGCCTGGGAACCCAACGCCTGGCGCCCAAAGGCTTAAAAGCGTCTGGACCCCCTGGGAACCCAGTGCCTGGCGCCCAGAGGCTTACGCGTCTGGACCCACCTGGGAACCCAGAGCCTACAGCAGCCCCTCCCTTCTTATGTCACTACATATTTACCAGCGTTAATATTTTATTGATATTTACCAGCCATAATACGTTACATGTTTTAATGTTATCGTGATTAATGTCGGGGCCCCTATCTTTAAAAACGCTTGACATTTCGCGACTGGGAATGTTCTAGATCCGCCTCTTCACCACCACCACCACCACGGGATCTTGGTCCACAAATCCTCGGCGCGTTCGTCAATAACACTGCACGCGTGAGTGGCCTTAAGACAAAGATTCCCCGTATAGCCTGAACAGGCTGTTGGGGCAAGTGCTGTTAGCGAGCACTCTATGAAGGCCGGCACGGCGCACGAGGGGGTGGGTGGTCAGCACCACGCCGGCCTTAAGAAGAAACATAACACGCGATGTTTCGGGCAATGGCCCTTCTTCATAGCACAATGTGCTGAGTGTTGTTGTTTGTTGTTATTTGTACTTGCGTGCCACTGCCAAGATCCGGGCACAAATCAATTTGAAGACACCCCGAACACGGCCACCCGGTTCGCACCCTCAGGTACGACGCGCGTGGGTTCACTGCGAGCACCAGTATCCATTCGTGTGCACGTGCGCGCGCGCGCCTTTGCCTCCCTCGCGGCGAAGTTTACACCACCGCACCAGCTTCTTACATTTGAGCCTCCCTTAGGTCGACTCGGCCTCAAATGAGTACCTGGTGCGATGCGTAAAAACGATCGCCTAAGGGGAGACCAACACGGCCGGGGGGCGTGGTACGCGTCGGCCACCTTATCCCAGGCTCGCGTTCCGTGCCGGCCTTCACAAGTTGCTCCTCGCGAACAGCACTTGGGCCCCCCACAGCCTGTTACATGCTACACAGTACTGGTACAGGTGGTGCTGTGGTGGTGTTGGTGGATTTTTAGTTTCGCCTTTGTCTCACCACCCCCCGCCGCCTCGCCAGGTACGTGAGCGTCGCCTACCTGGGCGTGCGGAGCCGCGGGGAGGCCCCGTGCCGCCGCCGCCTGCGCTGGGCGCTGCTGTACGCGAGCGCGGACGCCAGCATGCTGCGCCTGCTGCTCGCATTCCTGCAGAGCGCGCCGCAGCTGGTGCTGCAGCTGTGCGTCATGGTGCAGCGCAGCCGCGCCACCCTCGTGCCCGGTGAGTCGTCCATGTCGTCGACGGCTCGCGATCGCCCTCCGTGAGCGGCGGTGCGCTGAGCGGGGAGGTGAGTGGGGAGGTGAGCGGGGAGGTGAGCCGTGGTGCGGTGAGCTGGGAGTTGAGTGAGATTGGTGAGCGGTAGTGCGGTGAGCAGGGAGTTGAGTGGGGAGGTGGTGCGGTGAGCGGGGAGTTGAGTGCGGAGCTGGTGCGGTGAGCGGGGAGGTGAGTGGGGAGGTGAGCCGTGGTGCGGTGAGCGGGGAGTTGAGTGCGGAGCTGGTGCGGTGAGCGGGGAGGTGAGCGGTCGTGCGGTGAGGTGGGAAGGTGAGTGGAGAGGTGGGTGCGCTGAGTGGGAAGGTGCGGAGGTGGTGCGGTGAGCGGGGAGGTGAGTGGGATTGGTGAGCGGTAGTGCGGTGAGCGGGGAGTTGGTGCGGTGAGTGGGGAAGTGAGCGGTGGTGCGGTGAGGTGGGAAGGTGAGTGGGGAGGTGGGTTCGGTGAGTGGTGAGTGGCGGGGGAATGAGTGGTGGCGCGGTGGATGGCGAGGTGGGCGGTTGTGTGAGGCGATTTTGCTGGTGGGGTGAGTGGTGGTGAGGTGAGTGACGTGAGTGGTTGTGAGTGGCGTTGTGCTGAGGGGTGGTGCAGTCAGTGGCGAGGTGGACCCTGGTGAGCGGAGCGACGAGGTGAGAGTGAGCCGTGGTGCGGTGAGTGGTTGTGCGGAGAGTTGCGAGGTGAATGGCGGTGTGGTGAGTGGCGGTGTTGTAAGGGATTGTTGAGGTGAGTGGAGTGATCAGTCGTGTGGTGAGTGGTCGTGTGGTGAGTGAGGAGGCGATGTGAGTGGTGGTGTGGTGAGGCGACGGTGAGGTGAGTGGTTCTGCGGTGGCGGTGAGTTGAGTGGTGGTGAGTTGAGGTGAGTGGTGGTGAGGTGAGTGAAAGACGATGTGAGGTGAGGATTATTGTGGTGCCTCTGGTGGTGGTGGGATTGTGGTGGTGCCTCTGGTGGTGCTGGTGGTGGTGGCGGGATTGTGGTGGTGCCTCTGGTGGTGCTGGTGGTGGGATTGTGGTAGTGCCTCTGGTGGTGCTGGTGGTGGTGGTGGTATTGTGGTGGTGTCTCTGGTAAAGACGGACGCCTCCTGTGCAGAAAGCGTGGCGCTCGCTGGCTGCGTCGGGGCTCAGAGACGCTCCGCGGGTGGCTGGGTGGTGGGGGGGGGGGGGGCTCGCTGCTAGCCGGGGGCCCCCCTTCAAATTGGCCGCTCGAGCGAAATCATTCCAATTGACACGTCCGCGCTATAATTACCACCGACGCGCCAGCCCGCACCCTCCCTGCACCCCACTCATCCAGACGCACCGCTACAGTCCGCCAGGGCCGTCCATATGTGTATGGGGGGGTGGGCACTCGTTCTGTAGGGGGGGGTGGACACTCGTGTATGATTGGCCACCACACTAAGGCGAAGGTGGGGACAGTCAATTTCAAGGGCCGCAATGTATTGTGGTTGTGGTGGTGGTGAACACGTGACGGCGGTGAGTCCTCCATCGACAACGTCACGAAGCAGTCCTCCAAGAGCTGCACGCGGCTCACAGGTTTGGACTTCTATGGTAAACTGTACTTCCATGGTAAATTGGACTTCCATGGTGAACTGTACTTGCATGGTAAATTGGACTTCCATGGTGAACTGGGCTTCTATGGTAAATTGGACTTCCATGGTGAACTGTACTTGCATGGTAAATTGGACTTCCATGGTGAACTGGACTTCCATGGTAAATTGGACTTCCATGGTGAACTGTACTTCTATGGTAAATTGGTAAATTGGACTTCCATGGTGAACTGTACTCGCATGGTAACTTGGACTTCCATGGTGAACTAGACTTCCATGGTGAACTGTACTTGCATGGTAACTTGGACTTCCATGCTGAACTGGACTTCCATGGGGAACTGAGCATCCGTGGTGAACTGGCCTCCCCTGTTGAACCCTCGCCCCCAACCTTCCGACCCCCGCCCCTCCCCCGGCGCGGCAGGGGTGTGCGTGTGCTCCTCGCTGGCCTCACTGGCGTGGAGCGTCGCCGCCTACCACAAGACGCTGCGCGACTCGCGCGACGACAAGCGCCCGCTGGGCTACCGCGCCGCCGCCGCCGTGGCGCTCTGGCACCTGCTGACGGCGGCGTCGCGCGCCCTCGCCTTCGCGCTCTTCGCCTCCGTGTTCCAGCTCTACTTCGGCGTGTTCCTCGTCCTCCACTGGTGCCTCGTCACCTTCTGGGTGGTGCACGCCGGCACCGAGTTCTGCGCCTCCAAGTGGGAGGAGATCCTCTGCGACCTCGTCGCCGGCGTCGCCGGCACCTTCTGCTGGGTCAGCGTCAAGGGCGGCCCGTCGCGCTGCCGCCTGGCCGCGTTTCACGCTGCTCGCGCTCGCCGAGAACGCCGCGCTCGCGCTGCTCTGGTGGTTCTACCGCGACCGGCGGCTCACCGACGCCTACGCCGCGCCGGCGCTCGCCATCGTCTTCGGCTCCTTCGCCGCGGGCCTCGGCTGCATGCTCGCCTACTACGGCTGCCTCCACCCGAGCCGGCCGTGCGCCGCCGGGCGCGCCGGTGACGCCGGCGAGAAGGGGAAGTGCGCCACCGCGGCGGCCGACGGCGGCGGCGGCGGCGTCGGGGAACCCGCGCGCACCGACTGCTGCTTGTGCTGCTGCAACAGCGGCGGCAGTGCCGGGGCGCGGACGGGGTCGTCCGCTTCGCCGGCACCGGCGAACGGCTCGGCCGTGGGGGCGCCCAACCCCCGTGCCGCGCCGCAGACTCCCCAGTCCAACGCGTCGGCCCGAGCCGGCACGGGCGCCACCACGACGCCCGTGCTGACGCGGGCGGGCTGTGCCCCGCCCGCCGTCGGCCCCGCCGGTCCGGCCGGCGGGGCGGCGGGAGCGACGATGACGGCGTCGGGTCCCGCGCCGGAGCAGACGCTGCTGGTGCTGCTGGACACGTGCGGCAGCGCCGGCCCCATCTTCCAGGTGCGCGCCGCGTCTCGCCCGCCCTCCGCCTACTGGCCGGTGCTGCACGGCGCGAGCGGCGTCGGCGTCGGCATGGGCGCCGGCGGCGGCGTCAGCGTCAGCGGCGTCAGCGGCAGCGGGAGCCCCCACACGCCCTCGCGCCGGGCCGGGCACGGCGGGGGCCGCGGGCCCTCCCGGAGCGGCCCGGTGATCCGAATCGACATGCCGCGGCGGCGCTACCCGGCGTGGGACGCGCACGTCGTGGACCGCCGGCTGCGGCGCAGCATCCGCGTGCTGGAGAGGGCCACGCCGGGCGTGGTGGCCGTGCGCTACCAGGGCGACGCCGCGGCCTACGAGCTGGCCGAGTACGAGACCACGGTGTGACCGCGGCTCGCCGAGCGGAGGGGCGGGCGGGCGAGGCCACGCCGGGGAGGGAGAGGAGGGAGCGGAGGGGCAGTTTTGGGGTGCGCAACGCGGGAGCCAATCGGGTGCGAGTACTCGCCACATCCTTGCCCGTCAGTCCTTAAGCGACGAGCCCAACCGGCCCCCGAGCACCGTAGCTTGAGGAGCTCAAACCCCATCGCACTCGACGGCGAGCTGCCAATACAGCACCAGGCCTCTCACTAATTCCAAAACCCTAACCGCACTTAATCCAATCGAACTGCAGCACCTAAATCCTGACCGGCGAGTACAAACCAGCCGCAAGTATTCGCCGTAGCCCTAACGAATAAACCAAAAAAAAAATAGTACGAGCCATACCCCAAGCCGACCCAAGCAGCTCACAATCCAGCCGTGCGGGCCCCTCCCGATGACCCTGGCAGCAGCGCGAGCCCCAACACCTGAGGCACTGAACTTTGAGGGCCCTTCTCACTTTATTTTTAATTGTTCCGAGTTCACTTTGCTGTTGCCAGCGCTGTGAAAGGTCTGTGACGAAGAATGGTGGTCAGAACGGGTGGGGGGGGGGGGGGGCAAGAGGGGACGACCTCCCGAATCTCAGTGGCTTGAGTTCGCCTTGGCCCGTGCTCGCATGAGTGCTGGATGGTGCTTACACGTGTTTGCTGGCACTTGTCCCCCATAGCCAGTGCTACGGGCGGGGCTCCAGTCTATTCATCGGATGATGACCCCCCCCCCCCCACCTCCTCCTCTTGTTGACTTCACACAAAGTGGAACATTCGAGCACGTCTCCCCGCTTCAAAGAGCAACGCGGCCGTGCTCGCCTCCATTTGGCGGCTCTGAGCCAGTGGTGACAATTCCACGTTCCTATGGCAGGGACAAGTCTACGCGTGGAACTACTGCTGTTTGGGTGCTCCGAGTGGTACCCGTTTTATGATCCCTGGGATGAATGATGATGATGGGTTTGAATATACCCAAGACCAGGATGTGGACTTGTGCGGTTTCGTTTGCGAGTCGTGTGCTCAGATGCTTTGACATGACACAACACGGCCTGGCTCTGTTTCGCCTTACGGATTTAGCGACTGTTGGGGCGAGTGCTGTTAGCGAGCGTCTGTTTAGGGCCAGTACGGCACCCGACCCTCCTGCGAGTGGCTGGTGGTCTGGCTGCAACCACACAGTGGGTACTGCTGACACCACACACACACACACCACCACACATCACACGCACATCACACACCACACATCACACACCACACATCACACACACATCACATACCACACACATCACTCCACCACACATCACACACATCACACCACAACATAAATCACACACCACACACACACATCACACACCACACACATTACACCACCGCACACACCACACACATCACACACATCACACACCACAAACACTACACACACCACACACATCACACACCACAAACACTACACACACCACACACATCACACACACAACCAGCCACCTTCACTTTACCAATGTTGATGTCCATTCCCCATCATCAATTACTCATTTTAGGCTGAATCAACCTATAGGGGGGTAGGTCTGAGCCAGCTTCAAATGCCAATTGCGCACTGGGGGGTGATTGTGGGTGTGTGTGTGTGTCATTGCCGGGAATCAAACCCGGTGTTTTTAGGACTGGTGGTGAATTGTGCTCAGAAAGTATCGGAAACCAATTCCTACCCAGCCCCCTACCTCGGTGTTCTTCATTGCAAGGCCACTGGGCCACTGGCGGCCCCTGGCGGCCTTTAGCGCGGCCCCCGACAGGACACGGACAGACGTGACAACGCACCCTGCCCTTGCTGGCGGTGTGGTGGTGGCCCTCACTCTGACGATGTCTTATCGGCGAAAGTGGCCCCCTTCTGATGATTGTAGTGAAGAACACTGCCCGACCCTCTTCTGATGCACACCCAGCCCATCTGTCGGCGAGCGAGTTACCAATCAGCTGTTCGGTGCACGTAAATGCTGTTTAATTGGATCAAAACAATTTTCGGGGAAATGTATTTAATGGATAAAAGATTATACCTCTTTTAAAAAATGTAACTTACAAATCAATAGCGAGACGAACATTTGCATATCCCTAATTGTTTTTTTTGTTTCGTTTGTCATTTTAAATGATTACGCGTTGAATGCGTCGAGCGAGGACGTGGATAATTTACCGTAATGTGTTTTTCGTAAAGCGGAATCATTTCCACCCCCCCCCCACCCCTTCTCGTACTTACTAATTTCGACGACTCTCTCAGGCCTTCTCTGCTTTAACGGAAAACCGCAGGGGCGTGCGGCGGCCTCAGGGTGGGGCCCTCGCCTCGCCGTCACGACTTGCGTCACAAGCGGTAAAGGTCACGTGGTTTCCGTTCGGGGGGAACGGGGGGAGGATACGTTCACGCGGGCGACGATGCCTCGATTCGTTGACGGACGCCGAACGCTGCGCTCACCACGCCGCGCTTGGATTCCGCACGTACGAGATATTATTTGGGATGCACGAAGGGCAACGCGAGTGCGTTTACCTGTCGGGTTATTGGCACGACGACTACGCTGCCACAGGAGACGCATGATACTGACGAGACGGTACAAAGCGAGACACACGGGACAAGCCGTGCGGGCGATACGACGAGGCAGTGCGAGCGACACAGTGGAAATGAGACGGACGCTACAAATCGGACAGATGACACGGTATGAACAATACAATGAAACGAGACAATACCAATGAGACATACAATACAAAAGGGACGAAATGGTACGAACGCGATAAACAATATATAACAGGTCCTACAATCGAATTGTCGATGCCGAATCATGACAACTCGACGAATCGCAGAGCTGATTGAATTCATTGCACGCCAACTCTCAACTCGCTCTCTCTATCCAACCGGACACCCAGTGGCTTGAGCACATTGAGGGATGTTGTTAAAGGACGTTGAGGCTGACACCAAATGGAACAACTCCCACCGTGACACGGGTCACCAATCCCTCTGTCCTGAAGCTCGCATCCACGCGCCACGCTGGGGCAAGCAACGCGATCGGTTGAGGGCCGGCCAAAGTCTTTACGGCTCCATTGTTTCCGTGGCACAAGCCAACTGAAGTTGACCCGCCCGAGTCGTCGGCCTGAGTTGGCCGAAATTTCTCCCCGGGGAAAACCCGAGTTGCTCGAGATCACCACGTGCTGACTGTGAGGCCTTCGCGGACAAGCTTCTGGGCAAAACCGCCCACGTGCCGTGCCAGGCGCGCGGGACCGCGAGGCCTGAGAAGTTGCTACGTTCACGCCATAAATGTAGGCCCTCATTTATGTCGTCGACGGAACGCCGCTCTCCCCCCCGCATCCACCGTTCCCCACCCAGTTTTCAGTGGTAAAATCACCAAGGCGTTGTTGTTGTTGGTGGTGGTGGTAGAAATATGCGTTTAGAGCAGTGGTTCTTAACCTAGGGTGCACGCACCCCCTGGGAGTAGTGCGAGATTCTCCTTTCTGGGGGTGCGATACATGGCCAGATTTTTGTTGTTAGAAGGTAAATCGTCGAAACACAAATTAAGCACGGTCACGTTAAGTAGAACTTACTTTACTCTTTGGTTCTTCCGGTAAAGTCACGTAGGTATAAAATAATTTCAATCACAACGTTTCGGGCGCAACACAAGCGTCCGTCATCAGGTGGGACAACCACAGCAAGAAACAATTGCTGAAGTGGGCAAAAGGGCTGCCGTGACAAGAGGCTATATAGTGTTGCACCCGAAACGTCGTGATTACATTTATGTATTTTATTTTATAGCTACGTGACTTTACCGAAAGAAGAAAAGAGTATGGATCCCTGCAGTCACGAAAACTTCAAATCTAGATAGAACTTACTTTGTCTCATCAAACCCCTATGTATTTATTAACATTGTATTTTTTTTTCGATTGAGAGCCAAAGGGGTGAAAGTCTGCAGTAAAGGTTAAAAACCACTGCTTTAGAGACTGTGGCTGCTATCAATGTCCACGTGATAAGCCACTTGGTTGACCTATCATTCGTGGCCTGGTCGCTTCTGAAAAACTGCTAATAGCCCAGTGGGATTTAGCTGGTAAAATACAAACTTTAAAATAGTTTAGTTTCAACGCTGCATTTTCTGCTCATTTCATTTACGATAACTTTTGGTGGAGAAAAAAACGTAACTGCGTTTTTTTAAATGTGTTAAATAGCAGCGCCTTGCCTGTTTAATTGCGAATAGGAGCGCACAGCACCTCTGTGGATGTGCGAATCGGTTCCTCGAACCTGCGGAAAAATCGTGGAGATTTGCGACTCCTGCCAAGCATTGGTGGAAATTTTCACTTTGCTGTTCGTTTTCTGCCAATGGAGAAGCGCGGCGCGGGGTTTGCTTCGGGCTGGGTGGGCGATGTGGGATGGCGGACGTGTGGAGAGGTGCTCGGTGCAGAGAGGTCACTGAGATCTGAGACGGAGGTAGGGGTGGAGGTTCATCGCCGACTGGGCTCACCACCACCACAATTCTCACCCCTCCAACCCACCACCACTCACCCACTACCACTCACCACTCCCCACCACCACCATTATCTCCACTCTCACCACTCCCCACCGCTCTCTCCACTCTCACCACTCCCACCCACCATCACTCTCACCACTCCCCACCACTTTCACCACTCCCCACCACTCTCACCACTCCCCACCTCCACCATTATCACCACCACCACCATCTCACTACTCTAACCCACTATCACTCCCCGCCACCACTCTCACCACTCCCCACCTCCACCATTCTCACCACTTCAATCCACCACCACTTTCACCACTCACCACCGCCATTATCGCCAGCACCATGACCACCATCCCCTCGTGGGCTGTGCCGGCCTTCATAAAGTGCTCCGATAACAGCCCTTGCCACAAAAGTCTGTTTAAAAGGCTATACGGGGGATCTTTATCTCTGCGCTCTATAACGTGCGCGGTAGGGAGATTTCGTTCTTTTTCTTTTTAAATTTTCAGCAACTAAA